CACACCGCTTCAGAATCTCTGCACCTCCGTTTTCGAGGTTTCGTGATTCACTATGTCCTTGTTGCCGGGGTGAATACACTCGTCGGTGTTCCATCACCGACAGCTTTGCCTTGCGTTTCCCGTCACCAATGTGCTCTGAATTTTACAAGCTCCTCAAGACAGGTCCCTGCTGAACCTAAGCGATTACCTCTCAAGGGAGAACGGCGTCGACACAGACTCTGACTGTTCGTCCTTCTTGTCGGCTACTTTTGGTCTGCTGAACGGTCGGTACTTCAAGCGTTTTCCTCCATAATACCTCGACTTTTGGTTTCTAACCGAAGGTTCTCACCACGCATCATATACTTTGCAATCCACTCGGACGCACAGTCTATTGAAGGATGGGAGACCTCGCATCCCACATGCAACCCCACTCGCAACACACCACCAATGGGCTCTGTAGCGTGAAGTGATGGTGTGCGCATTGGGCTTCCCGGGCAACACAAGTGAGACAGCGCGTTGCTAAGTCCGCGTGTATTCCCCTTGCAGTTCATCAAACACGTTTCAACACAAACCTCTCGAGAGTAGTAATAGTGACCATCGGACAACATACACGGGTGAAGACTCGGCTAGAACTGCAAGCAGTCCGACTTCCTCCCAGAATAGCGTGGTCTGAAGACTGATTAGCACTCTCGCCGGTGCTCGATTCCGGTGGCTGTGTACTACCGATCGCGTGCCCGGCAGCAATCATCCCGAACCTATATCACCACCAACGAACACCACTCGGTTGCTGTTCGGAAGGCCGGTAATTAGTGAGTGGCGTGCTTATCAACCCTGAGGAAAGCATGTGCTGGCCAGCCACGAATCATGACGTATTCGAATATACACGCGAGAGAAACGAACCGTTCACAGAGCCCACCGTCTTGTGTGTTGCCACCGTCCCACCGCCCATTGTTCCTGGTGCGGAGGCCTTCCGTTGGCGCTTGGATGACACCGTCGTGGGGCTGACAAACCAAACACGATGTTGCCCCATGTGAAAGTTAACGAAACACCGTGGAGGGGTCAGAACGGCATGCGATTGTATCTACGGCCGCCGCCACGATAGCGCGTTACATTGGGCAAGGTTGTCTCTCAATTACCTTCGCGTGAAAAAGAGCGCAAACAGACTGCCCGTGTAAGTGATTCATTCAGTACAGGCCATCTCTGTTTGCCGCGATAGTCTCAAAGCGAGTAGAGCCCCCATCTGCAGCGAACAGCGTCTGAATCGTGTAGGACACACTCGAAGCTAACGACGTGCGGTGACGTGGTGGTTCAATCGAGATGATTTTGAAGATTCGATATTGAGAAAGCCGATGTCCAGCGGTGGACCATGGGTCAGTCTGAAGCGTCGACGGCTATGTTTCGCCGGCTGCAACAGAAGGGGGACGGCACGCCTGCGAAGAACCGACGGCGGAGGATCGGCTCCATTCCATGTCACCTGAATTACCGCATGTTTCCTGAGGGAAGGGGGAGGCGTTGTCATTGGCCAACCGGAAACAACTAGGAAAACGGCACAGCAGGGCTTGCATGGCCATAAGGCGACCCAGCCGCGTATGTACATGCGTGTAAACAGAGTGAAATGAGACTGAGCAGAAGTTAACTTCTGGGGAGAAAATGGCAGTCGGAAGGGTCCTTTCCCCCGTCATTTCTCGTCAGGCAACGGAAGGTTAAAGAAACTTAGCATTCTATTGCAGACAAAAGAGTTCTGGTGTTGACGCAATCACCATCACCTCCCCAATGATGGACGAACGTTAGAGCGCCATCAAAACCGCGGGCTTCACTGACGGCGTGTATGACACGCAGACCAGTACAAGCACAGTGTGCAGCCGACAACCAGAGGGTAACCAATGAAGAGCGCCAGGGTGAACGTTTGTGTGTGGGCGCTGTCAGTAAGCATTCGAAGTGTCGGCAGATGCCATGAAGCGTGTTTTGTATCGTGTCCTGAGACGTAGGCACCTTGTGGCCGCCTGAGAGAGATTTGCGGTTTCTCTCTGGTCTAAACTGAACGTCGCTGCCGTAGTCTAGACCTTTGCACCCTTCTAAGTGGCTACGGAACGGTCATAAATACAAACCTTCTAAATCAACTCTGTGCGGAGACCTTGCCAGCGGGCGGGGCCGCAGATCTTGGGTAGAAGATCTCGGGAACATGATTGTTGCCGCTTTGAAAACATAGCCAAAAGAGAAACTGAATCTCTGAAGGACAACATCTACACACGGTTGATCCCGGCATCTCGTGCGATAGACACACAGGAATACCTCTATCTCGCGCTCACCTTTCAGCGTGGTTGGGTTGCCGGCTGCTGGCTGTCCAGGCACTGTGCCGGCAGAGGGCCTTGGCCATACTCCCGAGCTTGCGCTTGCCTGGCCTTGCCTGGAGCGAGTCATCCGAACATTGCAAATAATGGGTCTGGTTGTGCCGCAAGTATCTGCCATCTCCGAAAGGCAATGCTGGGGCTACACAGGGAATAACCCTATATGAAATCGAGAGCATTTCAGTCCTCGCCATTATCTGACTACAACAAGACGGAAATACTAACACGGCTTGTTGGTGCGGCAAGAAGACATGAGCTTCGGTGCTAAGGTGATCCCGAGACAGACTAACCCAAACCGTGAAGGGAGACTTCGCGTAACATGTACCAGGCTTCAACGGGATGCTCAGAATTGTGTCGAGAAGAGTGGCCACCTTCAACGCAGGTCGCACGGATGACGTTGCACGCTTCATTGAAGGTAGAGAGTTGAGCAAAATTCAAGCGCTCTCCACCTCTACCAGTTTGATGCGACGGGAACCATATGCTTCAAATCGAAACAGAGTGGTACCTCTGATGTCAACCCCTAGCCTCACCAACTCTTCTTGCCCCTCCTCTTGCTCCTGCTCCTCGTCCTGCTCCCCCTCCTCCTCCTCCTCCTCTTCCTCCTCCTCCTCTTCCTTCACCTGAATGCCACCGATCCCAGGATTAGCCTGTTAACGTCATCCAACACGACACAGTCGCCGCATAAGGGTTCCTACAAGTAAATGAAGCAACAAATTGCCAATGTACGACAAGCTGGCAGTGAGGGGGAAGACAATTTCCACTTCATGGTGCAAATCTCGTCTCGAAATGCCTCAACAACAACAAACGCTTTTCCGGCTGGGCGTTGCCTCCAACCGGGCTCCGCAGTCCATCGTTTGCAGCTGCACTTGAGGCTCACCTTGGCTGCCCCAGCCAAATCACCCATCTCGGTTTCCAATTCAGAAGATGACATCGAGCCTGTGTGCAACGCGAAACGGATTCCAACGAGCACGAGGCGGCATGTTTCCGAACGTAGCGGTGGGTAGATGACTCGACAGAACCAGCTGATGCACAGAGCACGGGCTGTCATTTTTGTCCAAGGGCCACACGCCGTCCTTACTACTCTCTCGGTTGTTTCCCGGCTTCATTCTCACCTAAACTTTTTCCGCCGCTGTCGACGCCACGTGGCATTGTCCCGACTGAGGTGACTGAAACAACAGCAACAGTAAGTCTAGGTGGTAGAAGGGTCAACTAACTAGCGGTTAGCGAACTGGATCTGCCGTTAGCTCCTCTCAACTTTCTTCGAAATCCTGTCGTACAAACCTTACTGAGCAGATTGTAGGTCCGCCCGTCAGAAAAACACACACCTTAGGTGCTTTTGCTTAAATAACTATCTGCTGATTGGATTCCGGCGGAGGCGTACGCACTGAACATCGAAAATCGGTGTTGTGGGTTGTATACAATGCGGGAGGCTGTCTGCGGGTGTGGGTCGGTATGTCCATAAGAGCCAGTAGACTGGGGCCCGCTTCACCGGCAAACAACCAAATTAAAAGCCAACCCTGCTTCACAACGGTAGTAACTTGTCCGTGCCGTAACAAACGCTTCTCGCATATTATTCGCTAAGCTCGTCGAGAAGCTGTAGAATGGTGCTGATGGCTCGTTGTGCATGAGCTTGGAACGCGGCCGTTAATTTTTTCTACTTGCTACACTGCATCGCAGGTTTGGTGTTTCGTGGGTCTCTCTAAAATGGCTGAAGCCACAGCAGTAGCAAACCATCCGCTCGTCGATTTGCGCAAATCCTTCCTCTTGTGTTGTGGTTGTTGGAGACCGTGAGGCGCTCTGAGATTGAGAAACGAATTTTGCAAGGGTCGACTGCTGTACGAGAAATGATACACCGCTCGCTGCTTGGCAGTTTTCTTGCCATGTCGCCGGTGTTGTTCAAAGTGTGCTCTCTCTCCACTGACCAAATCAGCAGCAACGACACAGCCCCGCAACTTCTAGCATGGAGGGGTGATGATCAAGCGAGCGAGAAAAACGAAAGTTTCGTCCATCGACATGTGTGTGGTGGGGAAGCTTCAGATCATGTGCTATCTCCTTGCGAGTCTGAACAAGGGTTGAGATGTGTGCATCAACTGGTCACCATTCTGCATTTTGAGCGCACCTGGCCACACGACAACCACGCATCAACGGCCGGGATCGCAGCACAGTGGTGCTCGAAGCCCCAGA